CTGCACGCCAGAAGAGGGCACCAGATCTCATTATAGATGGCTGTGAGCCACCATGTGGTTGCTGGGAATTGAACCCAGGACCTCTGGAAGAACAGACAGTGCCCTTAACCTCTGAGCCATCTCTCCAGTCCCAGGAAAGAAAACTCTACGTTCAGATAAACAAAGGACTTAAAAAGGGGGAGAGGCACCCTTTCTTTTTAGAATAAACAATTCTATGTGATTTCTAGAGACTTTCATAAAAATATTCCAAAGGAAATGCTTGTCTGCACTGCCAATATCTATCTGAAAGCGCTAAACTGAAAATATCCAAGTCACAGTCTGTTATACATGTTGTGGTTAGTTCAATGAAGACATGACAAATGACCACCCAAGATCCAGAGATGCACGAGCCAACAAACCTACAGTGTAACAGCAGCGAGACTTTCACAAGCTGCACCACTCTGCTGGCATCATTCAGAATGGCCTCAGACTCCTCTCAAAGCTCCTCTATTTTTGACACCAGTTCTTTATGGCACTTGTTTTCAGTCAGTGGTAACTCAGTGGTTAAGGCGGCTTCCTGGAGGACCCAAGATCAGTACCCAGCATCCACATCTGGAAGCTTACAACTGCTTGTTCACTCCAGCTCAGGAAACCTGATACCCTCGTAGGCCTCCAGTGCCCTCTGGCCTCCACTGACACCTATATTCATATGTGTACACACCTAAGTTTTTTTCAAAAAGCAATCTTACAAAAAATATACATGTGTATATGGATTCAATGTTGCTTTTGCATAGTCTGCTCTAACAATAAACAGCATACACATGCTCACACATACACAGACATACACCCTGCTCCAAGAAGAGCAAACCTCAAACTCAATTCAGAAACAGTTAAGAAAAACTACTAGCATAAATGTAAATTTGCTTCACCTTATATACAATCCACACTGTGTTTGGGTATACTTTTCCCCTGCAGTCCTTATGGTCATCTCTAAATTCATCACCAATGTGGTCCCCATTAACAAAACCCTATAACTCATACGGCACTTTTAAGCAGTATTTTTAGAATTCTTAAGATGGATTGGCTTTAATGCTAAAATAATTTACTAATTTGAATTTTAGAGAATAAAATTTTGTTTTAATCACAAAAATAACATTGAAGTGGTTGATGTGACATCAATAAATCAGACAAATATTTTGTTACATGTAATTTACTTGTCTCCACATTTTATAATTCATTTTCTGATTCATAAACTGCAAAATTACTAAAATAAGAGAATCAAATGCCTCCAAGAAGCCACTATTTTTCAGAAGGAAAAGGAAAAGGCTCATGCACATACGCACAAGCAATGACAATTTCAGGCTTGCCTCCAGTCTGCAGATTGTGCTCACTGTGCTTCCCACTGCTGAATGAAACAGAGGTGATGCCGTGAGGGACATCAGAAGGAGGCACAGTGAGCACAGTGCAAGAGCACAGTCTCAAGGCTGAAATCTAATGGGATAAACATATCGATAATTTCATTTTCATCTATGACTAAATGGAAGAATTAATAAAGGTGGTAATATTTGAAAATTATAAATCCTCAAAAACTATTGAAATATTCTTCTATTCCACACTATAATTTTTTAAAGCTTATTTATTTTTATTTCATGTGTATGGGTGTTTTGTGTGCATATACTTCTATGAAATTTGTGTGCCTTGTATCCATGTACATCAGAAGTCATCTGATCACCTGGAACTGTAGTTACAGATGGTTGCAATGTTGCCATGTGGTGATGGAAACGGAATCCAAGTCCTTTCCAAGAACAAGTAGTACTCTTAAGTGCTAAACATTCCAGCCCATTCACTGAAATTTTACAGAATCACCAAAGAGAATTTCATAGACTCAAACAAATGTTAGTTTGTTTCTCTTCTCTGGCATTTCCACTAAACTCGGTACTTTGTTTCTATCTTAGTGTGTATGCACTTCCTAAGTTATTTTCCAGTGTTCTAAAAATGAAAATGAACAAAATTCAACGATATCCATTCATATATAAAACACACGACCACTTATTCTTACAAATTAATTTACAGATACACTTCTTCAAGTACACAGATGCACTTATATAAAAATGTTAAATAAAATGTGCTGTAATACAGATGGTAAATAATATCAATGTCATTATTAGGGACAAATGGTGCAAATAAATCCTTGATACAGCACTATAATGTAACACTAAGTAGTCTTTACAAAGAAGTAGGTAAGTCTCCACATAACAACATAAAAAGTTGCCCAGAAAATACTAAGCAAAGAGAAAAGGAGGTTTCTAATACAGATCAAGAACACTTTAAATGTAAAAATGGCAGAAAACATCTGAAATGTCCTTAGGGAATCAGAAGTACAGCAGTGTTCCTCTGCCTCAGTACTGCTGAGCTCTGCTATATGATTTACCTGGTGAACTGTTAGACCTTTAGATGTATGATGGCCTCCACACACAAAATGCGAGGGGCATCTTCCTAGCTGTGACAACTAAACATATCTCCAGACATTACCAAATATCCCCTAAAGAACAAACTCGTTCCTAAGAAAATCACTAAACTACAGAGTGAAGGTGAGGGTTAACACATTTCACCACACTATATTCACAATGTAAAGAAAGAATATTAACAAAACAGAAAACTGCTAGAGTGAATATTTATAGGTGATGAATCTAAAAAAACTATGTAAAGCCAGGCATTGTGACATATACCTTGTCATCCCAGCATTTGGACGGTACAGATTAGAACAATGAAATTCTGAATTCCAGGCCCACCTCAATTACATCATGATTTTGAATTCCCAGCCTAGACTCTCTCTCTTAATTCCCCAAAATCAACCTCCCCAAAATCTATTCAAAATTAAATTTAATATTAAAAGGTGGAATAAAAACAATTTATTACTAAAATCTGTACATCTAAAGAAACTAATCAAGAGAGAGGACCCTGACTAAAATGCTCAATCCCCATCTTGAAAGGCAAAGAGGAAGGACATCAGAAGAAGAAGAAAACAGGAAACAAGCTAGGAACCTGCCACAGAGGGCCTCTGAAAGGCTCTGCCCTGCAGACTATCAAAGCAGATGCTGAGTCTTATGGCCAACTGTTGGGCAATGTGCATGGAATCTTATGTAAGAAGTGGGAAATAGTAAGATCTGGAGTGGACAAGAACTCCACAAGGAGAGCAACAGAACCAGAAATTTGAACACAGGGGTCTTCCCAGAGACTCATGCTCTAACCAAGTACCATGCATGGAGATAACCTAGAACCCCTGCACAGATGTAGCCCATGGCAGTTTGGTGTCCAAGTGGGTTCCATAGTAATGGGAAGAGGGACTGCCTCTGACATAATCTGATTGGCCTGCTCTTTGATCACCTCCCCCTGAGGGGGGAGCAGCCTTACCAGGCCACAGAAGATGACAATACAGCCACTCCTGATGAGATCTGATAGACTAAGATCAGAAGGAAGGAGAGGAAGACCTCCCTTATCAGTGGACTTGGGGAGGGGCATGCGTGAAGAAAAGGGTGGGAGGGTGGGATCGGGATGGGAGGAGGGAGGGGCTTATGGGGGGATACAAAGTGAATAAAGTGTAATTAATAAAAATAAAAAAATAAAAAAAATTATTTTACATTTTGCTACTTTTTTTCTAGGACTGATTCTTCTGAAGATGTAAAACTCTTCCTTCCCTTGTTCTTTTGTTTTTAAATCTTCCAAGTATGGTAGTTCTCAATTACCATGGCAGTTCAGAATAGTGCCCCCTTGCTTTTTATATTACCAACCAAAACTGAATGAAGACAGAAATTTCTACTTAAGCTAGAAAGCACAGGGAAATGCTATTTTTTAAATGAATTTAAAATGAAATTAGTCTGTTAGATAAAAGAAAATATGTTGATATATTCTGACTCCAAAAACATTTTTATTCAAAGATCCGTATCTCTACTGTGCTCCAGCCCCTAAAGACACATTTCTACATTCAAGTTCTAGCCAACTTTTCACTAACAATGACTATACAGGGATAAATTTATTAAGAACATATACTCAGCTGGGCATGGTGGTGCATGCTTGTAATCCCAGCACTCAGGAAGGCAGGTGCAAGTGGATCACTATGGGTTCGAGGACAGCCTGATCTACAAAGTGAGTCCAGGACAGCCAAGGCTACACAGAGAAACCCTGTCTTAAGAAGAAAAAGAAAAAAGAAAGAAAAAAAAAAAACATACTCAAAAAGTAAAATTTACAAAATAATCTAAATGCAATGAATATTCTAACTGTAGTTATATCAGTCAATAACTTACAAATGAGTATATCTGTAAATTAACATATCTGTACAATTTGAATGAGCCTTAAAACATAAGCCTTGTATTGATTTCTGTTAAAAAATACAACTACAATTTCAGGAAATATTTGAGATAGTGGAGATTACAAGTAAACTTTCAGTTCCAACTTAAAAACACCATTTTAAAGAAAAAAGTCACACAACGTAGGAGGTGGCGAGATGGCTAGCAAGTAAAACCCTTTACTGTGCAAACCTGGTAACAAGAATTTGATCCCCAGATTTTCCATGAAAGAATTGACTCCTGAAAGTTGTCCTGTGACTTCCTATATATATATGCCATAGAATGTGCATACCCACTCACATTCATGCATTATACACACACAAAATACTGAGTTAAAATAAACGAGTACACTGTAACCCAAACATCCCTAAGGGAAAAATCCATAGACTTCTATGAAAGCCGCCTTACACTTGAACTTGTGCTAGTTTTGGTCAAACTAGTGCACCTCTTTTGGTCACTTGGGGGAGAAACAATGCAGAAAGGCTCCAGACTCACACCAGGGTGCTCTCAGTTTACTTTTGTTGCCCGTGCCTACATAAAAGCTTTCTTGGGAAGAACTAGTGTTTGAAAACTAATGACATACACCAAAACAGAAGTAAAATCACGGTCTTCTACACTTGGAGTCCATAAGTATTTCAAAAGAGAAGCTTACCAGCACTGTGTTAGAAAACATACCTGATTCTAGCCAGCACAGCCTGTAGAAAGCTCAGCACTCTCCTAAGCTCAGACTCCCCACAGGCTCGCAGCAGCATGCTAAATCCATCATTGAGAAGATGCGCGTGAGCAGCGTATAAGCAGCAGCTGCTCTCAAACACATCTTGAACCCCATCAATGTAGATGGAGAGCAGTGTCCACAGAGTGTGCCTCTGGGCCATTTCATCATTCTTAGACACCAAGAATTCCTTGGCTTTCTCTTGGAACTCACATGACAGTTTCTCAGCCCAAACAGCCATGTCCAGGTTTTTCTGGGCATACATCAGGAGGAATGCCATCTGACCCTTCCAAACAAGGGCTCTATGAGATGGCGTGGAGGCAGGCCTGAGGAAACGGAGGAGCTCTAAAACACGGCTTGCTACATCTTCTATCTCTGCAACAGCTGCTAACAGTAGAAAAAGGATGAAAAAGTTCTGTAGGCCAACTTCAGTTAGTTCTTCCATTCGTTTTTGATGAAATTTAGAGTATATTCTATAAAACATGAAAAATAGTAACATTAGCTCATTAACTAAAATCTATCATTTAAAAATATTTTCCTCCAATATTCATGACATAGTGTTACTATAAAATCAGCTAATTTTTTATGTGTGGTACAGAGCCTGAGGTTGGCATCAGTCTTTCTCAGTTGTACCGCACATTGAGATAGGGCCTCTCATTGAACACAGAGTATATCCTTTCCTACAGGCTTGCTGGGCACCTTGCCCCAGGGGTCCACTGTCTGTACCTCTCAAGGGCTAAGACTGTGTCAGCCTCTGACTCTGCCCAGCATTCACAAGATGACGGAGATTTTAATTCCCACCCTTACCCACTGAGCCATTGCCCTAGGTCAAGTGTTAACTGTCACTGTGAAATTGCGCTGTCACTATTTCTATTTCGCAATGCCCACTAACATAGCAAACTGCTATGGATCACAGGGTGCAGGAGCTCCTCCCAACGAGGATGGAAACGCCATTTCCTATGGTGCAGACCTTTCCCCTTTGAATTCCCATCATTTTCCTTACTTCCTGACAAGTAAGACAGAATATATGGTATAGCCTGGACCTCAAAATGTCCAGGGGTGTGAGGCTTGTGCAGCAGTGAAGTGCACTGGGAGATAGTGGCATCTGTAGGATAGAGGCCATATAGAATTAGGGCACTTACTGAGACACCATCCTCCTGTCACTCTGTATTTCTGTCCCTGGCAAGAAGGCAAGTGGCTTTTGCTCAGTGTTATGCACCTCCATGGGTCATGGACTGAAAATCTAGAACCAAGAAGCAAATAAACCCTTCCTGTAGAAACTGCTTACTTCAAGCATTACCACAGAATTGAAACCAAACTCTTCTAAGCACAATTCCGAGTGCTCTCACTGAAGTTTTAATTCAACAATTTTTCATAACTGTTCTTAAATGTTTTCCCCTCCACCCTTCAGAAAGACATGGTTTTATTTTGTACTGTATAACAATTCAAGGAGCTAGGTTATTTTTCCTAGTTGTACGGAAAAGTTATGAGAGTTCAAATACCTAAGCCAACCATTACAAAATTTAATCTCTCATCAAAGTTACCCACTATAACCTAACAGTACATTTCTCTCAACATTCAAGAGTTTAAAATTGGAATATAATTCATCATGACTTTCTACTCGTGAATGAGGCTGTTTTATAATTTCTATATATACATTTGGTTGTTAAGATATAAATAATTAAAGCATACAGATTGAGTGTTCATTCACAATGGAACTGCATACGTAAGAGCTCATATGCTCCACAAAGTAAGGACCTATTTAATTCTCTTTCTTCCCATACTATCCCCACTACAATGGTTATACTGAGTATTGGCCCATTAATACTCTCAAGTGTATTATAATAATTTTTTAATTAATGGAGTTATGAGTGTTATGTTTTTCATAGAAGTACTTAAGTTTGAGAAGTCTCTCATGCAGCCTTGCTGGTCCTGACCTCCCAATGTAACTAAGGATGCTCTTGAGGTAACAATTCTCTTGCCCTAAATGCTGAAGGGGCATACTACCACACTCAGCTTATTAAACTAAAATCTGTGCATCTAAAGAAACTAATCAAGAGAGAGGACCCTGACTAAAACGCTCAATCCCCATCCTGAAGGAAAGGACATCAGAAGAAGAAGAAAACAGGAAACAAGCTAGAAACCCAACACAGAGGGCCTCTGAAAGGCTCTGCCCTGCAGACTATCAAAGCAGA